GGTCGTGCCCATAGAAGAAGAACTGACTATGAGCTACAGAGTTTTATCTTGGAGTTGTATTGTACCGAAATTACCCGCACAAAAGGGAGGCAACAGATATTAGGAACAGTGTTTTCGACGTGACTCTCAAGACTTGTTTTCTAAATCTTGTATCTATTTTTTGTTATATTATTGTTAAATTGTATTTGTTATTTTATTATGTTAATTGATAATCAATCTATACACAAATTACTCATTTTCCCTAACAATCTAAAGTTGTGTTGGAGTGATTTGTGAAGAAGAGATAGTGTTTGATGCATTGCTACTTTGAATTTTGGTTTAATAAGTGAACGACAGATACAGAGGGCAGGTTTCGCAACTGTTTGCAGCCATGGTGGGTACGCAATCTTGTTGCCCGATATTTTATAGATTTGAGCCTCTAGTTTTATTAAGCTCAATATTATGTTCCTTATCTATGAATAATTGATTTTTATTTATTTATTGATTTTTCTTGTTTTGTGTAATGGGAACCATAAAAAAAAATAAAAATAAAAAATGTAACCAAAGATTTGAAAATACATTTAAAGATTCTTTGAAAAAAAATCCCTTTTATCATTGAATGATGTTCATTCTTGTCAAGTATTTTTTATATTTCTGATAATTGGTAGAATAAATGACAAATTAAGGGTTTTAGTAATACACATTTTAAACCACATTTGGTACCGTTTGGTACCCATTTTTTTTCAAAATGTATTTTTCTCTTTCTTCTTTTCAATCACACATTCTTTATTAAAATAATATTACATGTAAATAAAAAATTTTTCCTTATTTTTCAATCACACATTTCCTATCAATTTACTATTCAAAATATATTTTTACATAAAAATATCTCCCAAACACCCTCTCAATTTTCAATGTGTTAAAGAAGGGAGGAAACAATGAATATAACTGTGAGTAGAAATTAAAGCCCCATGGGACAGAAGCCTATTTTGTGGGCTTTGCTCATAAGCCATGTATGTTTCAACTGAAAGCCGAATCTTGTTGGTTTTTAGCCACAAGTGCATAGAGCTATAGAGGGGACTAGCGGCTTAATGGTTTTCTTCCTTGCTATTCCACTAAAAATGGGCAACAATGTAATGTGAAGAAAAGCGGAAAAAGGAGACGTTTTCATCATCCCCTTACCACCAATTTATCTTGTGTTGCAGTGAATCTACTCAACTTCGTCATCACCAACCTTGGGAGATAGTATCGTGTTTATTTGTGTATAAAAGGGCTCTTTGCACTCGATTGATTGTTGTGAATGATTTAATTTCGACACAACCTCGATCTAAGATTCTCATATTCTATCTCCTTAGATTTTATTTGTATAAAAAGGGGCACACATTAGCACAAATTGGGGTCTTTGTTAAGCAGCAACTAGGGATTTCTTCTTTTTGCCAATGATTTCACTGTTCACATAAAAATCAACAGCCCTTTTTATGCTTATGTATCTGTTCGTTACTGTTTGTGCATATATAATCGGAGAAAAGAGTGAATTTCATCAGTGGTCACTGAATTTTAAATAAAGTTTCATTCCGGAAATTTTTGCTGATGCTAATCTAAGCTGTGAGAGTTGGGTCGAACATAGAGAAATGGAACTCGTATCTTGGCGGAGCTAACCTTGGTGGGGGGGATTGATCACGTTCTCTCTTTCGTTCGCATATGCAGCTGGGCTTTTGCAGCCATGGCAGTGTCTCACTCTCTTTGCTTGTTTTTTCAGATCTGAGCCTAACATTTATAAGCTAACCCTATAAGCTTTCCCAAACATGCTCTAAGTCTTCAGAAAACGAAAAAAATCCCAAACTCAAGACTGAGGCAACAGAAAGATAGGATATTGCGTAAGGGTGGTTGCCCTCTCTTTTTGCCAATGGTTTCACAAAATCAACATATCAACAACCTTTTTTCTTTTCGGTAGTTAACTGAATGCTGTTCATTTAAAAAAGAATTCTTTTGGAGTTCTTTTAATTCAAAAACTCCTCCTATTTTCAAAGTCTAAGTTGTATGTTATTGTCCATATTGGAATGATAAAATTAATGAGCTTGCTAATATGTTGTTTGAATTGCATATTTGCATATGAACCTTTATTTAAAAGTAACATATTCGGGTAATAATTTGATTATGCAGAAGCAAATATTTGGAAGCCATTTGTGCCAACTTCTGCTAAAATATGAGCATGTTTTATCCTTTAGCTATAAGTCATTTCATATGGGATTGATTATTTATGCACTTTACAAGTCCAAATGTTTTAAAAAAGATAAAACTAAGTGTAACTTAAAGTGCGGAAGTGGTCTAATTAAATGAGTTAGCAACATCCATTGTGGGACATTAATCTTGGTGCTTCTTTCATATTTTCTTTGGCCACAATTTTCTTTTTTTGCAGCTTTCTCTATGGTTTGAATTATGTTAGTGTACAATCAGTTTTGAATCTTTGAAAAATTTCTTGATGCAATCGTCAAGGTGACTTGTAATTAGGAATGTTAAATTTTTGCATCCCACAATCAATTCTCTAGCTCATAGACTAAATCGGTCTAACGACTTTAATATGGCATTCTTCTAGCCTTTTTTGGCATTGTCTCCAATTTTTAATGCGGATAATTAGATGGTAGAAGTAAGACAAATTCTTGTCTAAATATACAGCGAGATATTATCATTGTATACTATAACCAAAACTAGTATTTTGTCATTATACATGTGAATTGCTTGGGTTAGATTACATGGAGATTCTATGATTTTATTTTGGAAAAACGGTTAAAAGATTTAACCTTCAATAATGTGCTTAATTGATATTTTAAAAGAGGTTTCAATATAACTCCTACTAATAATAGTGATTTTATTATTATTATTCAATTTAGACATGTAACTTATATTTTCATGTTAGAATAACATATAATAATACTACCATGTAGCAAGATCAATTTGATTTAAGTCTCGAAAGTTTTAAATATTAATAATTAAAATAATAAATTTGGCATTTAATTATTTATAATTTTATATGAGCCCTCATAATTTTAAGTTATTAAAATGAATGCGTGTGAAACGATAAATTCGAGCTATATTCTATATTTGCTAGAATTTCACGCGATTGTGTTTAATCGCAACAATATTTCTTTTATGGAATATTTGATGTATGAAAATCATGAAAGTGTGAGGTTGATAAACATTTGCATCAACCATCTTCTAACAATGTTGGATCCTATAGGAAGAGATAAATAGTAAGACATATATTTACTCAATTAAAGTATATCTTTGAAATGTGGGGGGTATTAAAAATTTCACTTCATATTTTATTGTTCTTAATTGACAAACTGATTTTTGAAAAGTGTTAAAAAAAACTAAATTGTAGATGTGCAGTTGAAATGCAAGAGCTCAATGGATGCATATGTTTAAATGTGTTACTAGAAATCAATTTCAAAATTTCATATGTTTATCTTAATATAATTAAATATATGTTATTAACATTTTGAAAAGTTAAATGATTTTGCACATGTGCAGATATGCAAGCAGAGAATAAAAACTTTGCAAATTGATGGTACCAAATTATTGTCTAAGAGGGACATAAATAAATTGTAGTCGAATATGGACATACATAAATCATTGAGGGAATGAGTTTGAGCCCATTAGGTAGCTCCCTCTTGGAGTAACCCAACCTTTGTGATTGAAGATTCTATGAAGAAGGTTCATTGTGGTAAAAATAACTCGTACTGCATGACTTGTAATAGCACTATTTTAACTGTGTTCATCCCTATGGTGATAGTGCTAATAATAAAATGTGATGTTAAGAAATGTTTAACCCTAAATGAGTACCGATGCGAGAATTATCGTGAGGTTTAGGTTACAAGCACCCTTAGAGGGCTCACCTATGTAAAGATTATCATGAGGCCGTAGCTATGAGATTGAGTTATTCCCTAGAGACTCTTACTAGAATCACTACAAAAAAAATGTGGCTTCAGAGATGAAAATTTTTGTCGCAAATGCCTTAAATTCCGTCGCTGACGACTTTCACAAACGAATTTGATCGGTCGGGAGGAAATCCATCGACAATATGCCCACCTCTAATTTAGTGATGAATTAATCATGTCGTCGGTAATTTATAAAAGGAAACGACAGTCGATGTTTAACTACGGCTATTTTTATCGCTAATTAGCGACAAAATCTCACCGCAAATTAGCTACGGATTATGTCCATTTATGATTATCAAGAATTTTCGTCACTATTTCCATCGATAATCTGAATTAAAATGTTAAAAAAATGATTTATTTTAATAATTATTTACTTAAAAAATTCATACATTAAAGTTCAAATTAAAAGTTGATATCCAATAATCAAGATCATCTAAGAAGTGAGCAACCCATTCATCTACGAATATCTTAAAAAACTAGATTTGATATAGATTCATTGGTCCTTGTTAACATAATTGTCAGACCTGACCTGGATGTTGACCGGAACAATGTAGTGGGTCAACGGGTCAGTGGTTTAACCGGTGACCTGGTGGTTCAATCGGTGGGTCAGTTCCTATAAAAAAATATTATTCTCTAATATTGCGTCAATCACCTTGAAAGTAGTATTGTTTTAGAAGGTGAATTGGATAGTAGTATATATTAAAGCATGTCAAATGCTTGATCAATGGAATAGAATTACATGGGCCAACAAAAATTTAAAACACAAAACAATAATTTAATATATCATAATGCACATCACATCCTAGGAAAATTTCCCAAAACACAGGGAGTCTATAAACATCTGTCACAATTTACAAATACATAAATTATAAACCAGAGCAATTATCCAAGAATAATCTTCATTAATATTCTTGAAAATTTAAATAGTTAAGGGTAAAAGATCATATGTTGAAGGGTGCATTCACGCATCATATACAAGACCAAATAAAAAAAGTTATCATGCACAAGATTGGCTCATTTCTATAGCAAAATATCAACCAAAACCAATAATAAGCCTAAAAAAGGTGCATAAAGGCATCATGGTGATTAGTGAATCACATAAAATGGATTACTAAACTAGAATCCCATACAATGAATTCACTTGGCAAAGAAGAAGTAAAAACGCTTAAAGAAACTTCATCCATTAATCTTTATCCAAAAAGATACAAAATAAATGACAGGTTCATCCATTTTTTCTCAAGTGCAGTTGTCACGAGGCACATCTGTCCATTTTCCATATGCAAACATTCATTGTTGCTGTCCCATATTTTGCCTTGTAATTTTCCTGTTTCCATTTAGCCAGAGCTTTCAATTCAGATTCAAGAACCAAGAATTTCCAGAAGATATATGTGTGTTGGGAGGAAAGAGTGTGCATCGTGCATGTGTCGTCTGTGAACTAAATCAAATTATCCTTAGATCACAACAGGAAATTGAAATCTATCCATTAAACGTGGAAATCCATAATCAGGGGGGGGGGACTAAACTCCAGATGAATTTTTATTGTATATTGTCTTGAAATTATCATCCACTAAGCACAAAAAAATCACCTTGAAAAATATAAATAAAATGCTTTCTCAAAATGAACTGTCCCAACCTGTTCGTCCGTATTGAGTCCAAATTGCTATGACCCATATGTGCAAAAGCTTCCTCATGATGAGGCGGTGGTAGGGGAGGTGGTCCGCCAAATTGGTTTGCATCGTCGGCGCCGGAATTTGGGTTTGAACTGTCCAGTTTTGCTGTAGACGAAATTTGCTATGGATTTGGATTTTCAGCTTTGTTTGATGTTATAAATACAACATTAGGAGTGGAATTAGGTGCTTGATCAACCTGGATGATGGGCATAGTCTGGGTGTCGCCGGAAGTGGAGATACCGGCCATTTTTAAGTGAGCTGGCAGGCTGTTTTTGGGCGATTTTCACTCGATTTCTACCGGAGTTAAGGCCAGTGATTGGGTGGATGGTGAAGAGGGAAGTGTGGGCTTCAAGTTGGTATGAAGATCGGGCTGCCATGGTGGCTAGAGATTGGAGTTATTGGGATCCATTTTTGGTAACTCAAAAATCCCAAAAGACAGGAGTTAGGAAATGAAATAGAGGGAGGGCGGTAGTTTATTTTGGGAGGAAATGAAACATTTGAGTTGGAATTAAATGGAGGGAAATGATAATTTTAGAGGCCAGTCAAATTTTTGGTGGAAATTAAAAAGTTTTTAGTTTTCCAAAGGAATTTTTTCGTTGGTAACTATATAATACTTTTAAAATTTTACTTCCAATATTTACCAATAGAATTTTTCGTAGGTATACGATTTTATTGATTTTAATATTTTTTCCAACGAAATCATCCGTTAAGAAATTCTGTAGCTAAATTATTTAATTTATTATTTATTATTTTTAAATTTTTGCCTACGGATTAGCAACGGATATTGTATCGACGAAATACTTCCATTGGTAAATTAATATGTAATTTTTTAAAATAATAAAATGATAACTCGTTACTAAACTATTGTCAATCCGTTGGTAGTAGCAACAGAAGATGATCGTCGCTAAAATTCCGTCTTTGTTGCTACCTTTTCTAGTAGTGAATCAAGATTAGAGCGCATTACCATTAAAAGCGATATCCGTTATGAACTAGAGCCTAAATCCATACTATGTGTAGGACAATTGAAATTTGACCAAATAAGCCTAATTCAAGGTTTAGTCCGTTTTAGCTCCCTTAAATGAAAATTGTTATTACTAAGTGAGGTTCAAGTGAAAGATACATACACCTATTACACAAAGTACCTGCATGGGTTTTATCTTAACTGTGAATTACATGGGTTTTATCTTAGAACCGTGTAGTGCAGAAAGTACCTGCACGAAGGGGAGGGATTTTAGGACAGTGTCTTCACGTGACTCTCAAAGTTTGCTTTTTAAATCTAATCTATTTTTTTGTTATATTATTGTTAAATTGTATTTGTTATTTTATTATGTTAATTAATAATCAATCTGCGCACAAATCACTCGTTTTTCCCAACAGCCAACATGTCTGAAATTTTATGGGTTCTTTAGCACAATATGATAGTCTTTTTTAGCAATTGGAATTTTGACTGTAGGTTATCAACCACCATCAATTTAGTTGTTCTCGTAACGCTGGATGTTCAGAATAGGTTATAATGAGCATATTTGTATAGTTCTTGATATGATTGCAAAAGGAGGGATGTTCATATGGTAATTTGCTGCCACCCTCTGGCAACCGGGATTTAGAATGTTCGTTACTTGCTTATTGACATAAAAATAAATTTCGCAAGAGGAAGTTTTGAGTCATGCCACATTAATATTTTAATTGGAAGCTTTGTAAATATTTCATTGTAATAAATGCATATGTGACTGGGCACAAGCTGATGCCTGATCTTAGAGCCCACAGTTAGGATCACAAAGTAGTAGTAGTAGTGTGAATAGAATGATGCATAATTTACGCAGTTCTGTTGCTCACCTATGGCTTAAGTAATCCATGCATTCAAAATCAAATTCATTACAACCTTTTACTTTGGAAATCAAGTGATGTAGAATTGGAGTAATTTTTCGGGCTTACTTATTTTTGTTTCCCTGTTTCCTAGTGAATGTGATATTGTAGTATTCTGATGTTTCAATCGTGCTTATTCATTGTTATGCAATTTTACCCAAAATTTTTCCTCAGTTCTTTCAGCTTCTGGTGGGATTAAGGTGGACCATCGGGAGATGAGTAATGGGACTTATCTACTCCTATAATTAATAATGCCTATATTTCTTTCTGGAATAGTCACCGTTCTAATTGTTTGTGATCTTTCACTGCAAGACTAAGTTTGTTTCATTTGCTGCAGATGTTGTTGTACTTGTTGCTGTAGTCATATTAGTAGGTTTATTTAGCATGCAACACTGGTACGGATAAAGTTGGTTGGCTGTTTGCTCCACTTGTGCTGCTTTGGTTTCTCTTACTTGGAGGTATTGGCATATTCAACATACACAAATATGATAGATTGATAGTTCTGTTCTGAAAGCCTTTCACCCGTTTAAATATATCGATACTTCAAAAAGAGGGATAGAAGCACTTTTTGCTGATCTTGCCCACTTTCCTGTTTCGGCTGTACAGCTCGCTTTCACAGTAGTTGTGTTTCCTTGCCTTCTCTTGGCCTATTCTGGACAAGTAGCCTACCTCATGCAAAATAGGATCACATCATTGATGCATTTTATCGTTCTATACCATGTTTGCCAGAGCACCCAATTTTTTATCTCTAGCAAGCATAAAAATTGCTTTGTGAACAGTTTGAGTTCTAATATGGATTTTTATCTTGGGTTGAGTTTTATTGGAAAGTATTACATGTGGTTTTAGCAAATATTTAAGGTTAGACTATCTTTCTGAATCAACCAAATAGTTCTGCAAATTGAAATGGAGCATTTTTACGTTTGCTTGAACATTTTTCCGAGGTGGAAATAATCAAAATATGTGAAATCTCAAATTAATAGTTATTGAATTTCAAATGGCCATTGATAACCTTGGAATCAGAGTCAAAGTCATATGCGCGTCGACATTTTCCCGCACTTTTAGGCGGTGTGTAGTTCCTATCAGCAACAGAAACTTTTAGTTGTCTTTTTTGTGGGTCTTCTTGTTGGATTTCAGTTTTCTATTTTCATGTACTGGGAAATTTCCACCTGCAGCGTAAATCCCATTTCAGCAGTAGTAGTTTCTTTAAGAGCTATCAACTTTGCATGCACGTTAAAAAGGTTTTTCTCAACTTGGACATATTATTCACTAATCTGAAATAGTACAACCAAAGTATACCGTTTACGTAAATCCCCTAAAACCACAGCATCTAGTGAAGGTCCTTATTAGGTTCAGACCAAAGACTCCATTTATAACATCACCGAGACACCAAAATCTCAACCGTGAGCCCTCACCGTCCCAAAGCTTCAAAGTTACTTCAATGGGACACAAAATAGACAAACCACTTCGACACAGATCACTCACACCGAAGAATCACCCAAGGAATGAATATCACAGAGATGATTCTTCAGAATCTCACACAGAGAGGTCGAAGATGAACAAAACCAAAAAACCCTTTTGAAGGTTCCAGAAATACGGCTCACAGAAGAGAGAAAAAGAAAAAATGACGACTTCCAACCCTAGGTCAAGCGAAAAGGATATATTTATAGTAGAAAACATCAGCCATCATATTAATGGGTCGATCCAATGGTCCTAGAGCAACTATGAGAATGGACGGGTTATTGGGCTCGGTTAAGTATCAAAGAGTGGATCAATCTGCTCTTTATCTATTGGGCCTGGATTTTATCATCATTGCCTATTGTTGGACTGATCATTGGCATCACAACCCAATAGATCTCCATCTTGATGCCAGTGGTCATACAAATAGCTTAATAAATGTAAAATACAATTTATATCTCATTCCCCAAAAAACAACTTCCATGTACTTCCAACAAGCATCAAGAACATCATCTGTACAATTTAACCAGCATCAATGTTCAAAGTTTGTAAACAAGACTTAAACTTGGTTAAAGGTATTACCTTAGTCCCCACATCAACTGGATTAAACTGCGTTGCAATTTTCTCAAATAAAATAAGTTCTTTAGAAATAACATCTCTAATAAAATGCAACTTAACATCAATATGTTTGATTCTTTCATGAAAAATTAGGTTTTTACATAAGTGAATTGCACTTTGACTGTCTGAATATAAAACAACAGGGTTACTTAATTCATTTATTTCAGATAACAAGCCCTTAAGCTATAAGGCTTTTTTTATTGCTTCAGTTGCAGCAACATACTCAGCTTCAGTTGTAGATAAAGCAACAATAGGTTGTAGTTGAGATTTCCAACTAATACATGTGTTACACAAAGTAAACATATAAGCAATAGTAGATTTCCTATTGTCTCTGTCTCCGACAAAATCTGAATCCACAGAACCCTTAAGTACAACACCTTTATTACAGGCACTAAAAATCAAACCAATATGTGAAGATCCTTTCAAATATCTCAACAGTTATTTTAGAGCAACCCAATGTTCTGGTCCTGGATTGGCCATAAATCTACTAAGTGTGCTAATGGAATGAGCTACATCAGGCCTAGTACATACCATAGTATACATGACAGACCCTACTGCATTAGCATAGGGTACATTTTTCATTTGTCTAATGTCAGATTCATCTACAGGACTTTGCTCTTTACTAAGTTTAAAATGGCTGGCCAATCGAAGTGAAATAGATTTAGAGTTATGCATGGCAAACTTAGTCAACATTTTTTCAATATATGCTGTTTGCTTCAAGTGCAGTAACCTATGGTGCCTTTTTCTAGTAATTTCCATTCCTAAAATTCTCTTTGCATGTCCTAGGTCTTTCATTTCAAATTCAGTACTTAAAGACCGTTTTATCTGATTAATAACATGCATATTCTGACCAATCAGCAACATATCATGCACATAAAGAAGTATAAAGGCAACAATAGCATTTTCATCATTTCTTTTAAAATAAAGACAATGATCAAATTCACTTTTTATGCAACCAATAGTAGATACAAAATTATCAAACCTTTTGTACCATTGTCGTGAAGATTGTTTCAAACCATATAATGATCTTTTTAACAAGCACACATGATCAGATTTAGATTCATCAATAAAATCAGGTGGTTGTCTCATATAAATCACTTTATCAAGGTCACCATGCAAGAAGGCAGTTTTCACGTCCATTTGTTTAAGTTCAAGATCATAATGAGCAACAAGAGCAAGCATAACTCTAATTATAGTGTACTTTATCACAGGAGAAAATATCTCATTATAATCTATGCCCTCTTTTTGCGTAAATCCTTTCGCTACAAGTCTAGCCTTGAATCTTATGGGCATCTTTTCAGTATTTCCCTCCTTAACACTAAAAATCCACTTGCAATCAACAAGGGTTTTACCTGCAGGTTTAGGAACTAATGTCCAAGTCTCATTTTTTATTAAGGAGTCCATCTCATCTATCATAACCGTATGCCAATTCTCAGATTGCTTACAGCTCATAGCCTCTTCATAAGATTTTGGTTCTTTAAACACTAAGTCTTGATAGGACAAAACAACAATTGAAAGGTAATCTCCATACCTCACAGGCTCCCTTACT